CACCAATGTTTTCCTTAGTTCACTAAAGCAAAACAGAAAAAACCTTTCCAAAAATTTAGCAGTTTTAATATAATACAACAGTTGTTTTCTAGCGCAAAATAAGTTCGTTGTATTTACCAAAGATTGCGTTGTTGCTGATAGCTCTTTAAAAGCACAGCTGAAGATAATGAGTTTTCTGTGCTCTAAATAGTATTTCAAATAAAGTTTCCTGAAAAAATTTTGCAGAAAACCGATGTAAACACTTTAGTTTAAGAACAAGTTTTTAGACAAGAAGGTCTTTAGATCTTTATTTTGAAAATAGTGCAAAAATTCTTGTATTTTATCAACTTTTAAAATTGTTTGGAATTTTTCTTGCATATAGAGTTCAGAAAATTATCTTTCTGACAATTCTTCCTTGTTTTGGCAGAAAAGAAGTGATTCTGATGTAGGCAGTCTTCAAGTTCACGAAGTATTTAGAAATTTGTCTACCAGAAGACAGAATTACAGCAATGGTTTTTCAAAAAGGAATGAATCATTGGAAAGCTATACGTCTACTGAGCAGTCTGTTTCGCCAGTCGTAAGAATGGATCAGGAAGAAACCAGTCGTGTTATAGTTTCAAAATGTGAGAGTTTCCCGTCGAACGGTCAGTTGGTACCTGCATGCAGAGAGAAGTCAGATGCACTTGGAATGTCAGTTACGTTCGTCGAATCGCAACTAACGATGCCCATCTAACATTGTAAAACAGCTCTTCGACAATTCAAAACTGATCTATTTTAGAACTATATTTTTACTAGCAATAAAAAAATAAGTGCCATACAATAGCAGGAAAAAAATAACATTAAGTAAATTTTAGTCATCGAGTGCTAAAGTTAAGGCTCTATTAATTTAAGGTTCAACAGAATATTTGTGTGTTAAACTATACGAAATTTCTTATTGAGTGCTGCAAAAAGTGCTACCCATAATTAAAGAATTTGAGTAAAAATATGAAAGAATGTATTTAAAGCTTACGAAGAAGGAAGAAGTATTAATGCAAAAACAGCAGACTTCTAACACTGAAAGAGAATTAGAAAACTTTAATATTCAATTTCGCTGTGTCAGCCTTACTCTCTTTAAACTTCTCCTGTTAACTATCATTATTTCAAAAATTCTTAGCATATTATAAGTCACAAAACTGTGTGATTTAGAGCAGGTAAATAACCGTCTGTGGCAACTTTTTTGTCTTCTAATTTTTTCACGCTACTAGAATGCCAAAGTTGTTCACGCATTAAAAAAATTGTTCAGTTATTACGAGAGGAAAGAATCAGCAGATCTTTCCAAGCCAACTTATTACTCATTAACTGTCCAGCGCTAATAATAACCGCACAGTAAATAATTAAGAAGCTTTAGTTATCAACAGTTATACGTGCAATAAAATTTTACGCTCAAGACAGCTAACCTCTAATATAATCCCGCTGTTGGTGCTAAACGGTAGAACTGCAACGCTTGATATTTATTTGGCTAATTGTTTCTAGTAGATTTTTTTCAAAATTGCAAGATTTTCAATTAAGCTTTCACTATACTGTTGAAATGGTCTTCTGCTAAAACTCTGCAGTCCATCTCGGAAAATTATGACCATTTTTTGTAAACACTGTTAAACACCTTAATTTGCTGATAAAAGATAAGTTTAATGTAGACTATTTGGAAGTATCAGTAACTTTTCTTCTTTCTGTAAACATTTAATTAAATAGTGTTTAAAAAAAGCCAAGATCAGTTCCTTTGAGAAAACAGTCAAAAGTTTTTTTGCAAAAGTGTATATTAATTTGCGTTTCTTTGAAAAAAAATTTCATTATGGCAACAAATGACCTTCAAATACACTCTTAGTAAAAGTTTAGCAGAAAAAAAAGCAAAGAATAAAAGAACTTTGTGCTTTCTCTGTAAATGAAATAACTTCTTCTTAAGATTGCAGACAACAAAAGGTTTACTTTTTATTGATAATGTAAAAGAATTTAACACTTTAGATTGATATTATTACTGCATTACTCAACAAATTCTAGGTTAATGTATAAACAAGTTTTTCTGCACACATGCAAGAAAGCAACACGCATTAATCACGACACTTGAAATTGTAGAGGATATTATGCATAGCAATCAAAACCAAAAGGTATTATTAATGTTGAGGCCCTAATTTTGCCGATGAAATCAAAAACTCACGCGGTTGGCAAAGCAAAAAGTTTTCTTGTCAATAGTGGTTTGAGATATTTGTATAACAGAAGCAACATATGCGCGCAGTAAAGGTCATTCTTCGCAACATTTGATGGTACTGTTTCTCTCCGTAAGTCTATTAAAAAACAAAAAATGGCAAACTTAACAATGACTTGCAAAAGTTTAGTTTTTTAAACTGTAGACGTTGCTTAGACAAAAAAGTACGGTATAATTGGTGATGCATAACGCTAACCTCATAGAAATTTTAAGACGCAATTATGAAAAAAAATCATATTTGGATAAGAAATAATACGACTTTAAAAAACACACAAGGACTATTCAATTAATTGCGAAAAAAGTCTTGCAGCATATATGGTTAAATTAAGAACCTTCTAAGCAAAGTGTCTTAGGCAAGTTTTTAATCGAAACGGTCTTGACGAACAAAAGCAGAAAAAGTACTTTACACAAACCGATCAAGGTAAATAGAAAGCAGCTTGAAGCAGGAAATGTTATTTTTCTTTACTGTATAACTCTCTTTAGCTGTAACAAAATAAGCCAAATTATGTTAGAACAACAACTCTAACAACAAAAAAAAAATGCTTTTGAGTTACTGTTTTTCTCAAACGATTAAAAAAAATAGTATTTTAAACCTACAAATTTGACCGCCATTTGGAATGGCGTGCAGTCAATACTAATCAAATTTTACAGTGCTCCTAAAGCCTTCTGATATCGCCGAAAAAAAATGTAAAAAACTCACATATACGAAAATAATAAAATTAAAAAAGTAAAAAACTGAAGTATGTCTCTCAAAAGTCGCGATTTCAAACAAAAACGAGTTTGAACTTTGAAATAAAAATCATTTTTTTCCGGAGTAATAGACCTATCAGTGTAAAAAAAAATTTTTTGACAACTATAAAAGGTTACTCTAAATTAACGGTAATTCATTTGCGACCTCAGCATGAACGAGGCGTATGTAATTGTATGCATAGCTGCGTTATGCAGCACCATTGCTGTACTGTCATGTATCATTTTCCTTCCTTCTATGTATACTGCAGTGAATGAAGTTGGTTTTTACTTTAATTTTGCTGAGCGTGTTTATTTTTGAGCTGTACTTTATCTAGCGCAGTCGCATTACTCAATTGAAAAACACAAAAAATTGAGAAAAATGAGACATTCATACAGTTATAGCATGAATCTAGAACGTAAAGCATTGTCATTCTGTACATGCTTCATTGCATTTAATTGCTTCTAAGAACTTCAGCATTGTAAAAAATTTTTATCTTTAGCTCCACACCAAGGTCATTGATGGCGTGCAAGTATTTCGGGTTGAAACTGACTCTGCTTGGTCTAAAATGATGGAAATTCAAGTCAGAGTACTTCCTGGAGGGAAGCCTATAAACAATCCTTTCCAATCATTTATACGACACAAACGTTCCGCTTCATTACCAGCTCACTGCATTTGTGAACCTCGACGAGTATGTCCTCCTGGACCTATAGGACCACGCGGAGATCCAGGACCGGACGGACGTAAGGTTTAATATTCCA